GGGGTAGGATCAGCCCTGCCCTGGTGGCTAAGTGGCCCCTGCAATCTCTGCACGAATACAAGAGACTCCGCTGGCTTTCGCCAACTTACGCCACCTGTGGCGCCACTGTATTATCCGATTATCTACTAAGCATCGCGTGTACTGCACATCAGTCAGATCTGCTCTACTGTATGGCTATGAAACATGGCCATCGACAGTGGAAGACATCAGAAGGCTGACTTCAGGTGTTCGACCACCGTCGACTTCGCAGTATAGGCCGTATTCCGTGGTGTCACCACATGAGTAACCCAGAAGTCAGGTGTACAGTTCTAGGGAGAAGAGGTAAGTCGGTTGACGAGGTTGTGAACCTTCATCAACTGAAATGGTTGGGACACATGTTACGTATGTCTAGTCGCCAATCCCCTCGTCACACAATGTCTGCCGAAGTAGGTTCAGGATGGGAAAGGGCTCAAGGCGGCCACACCAAAACATCGCATCAATGCATGAAGTCTTTGACTGTTAGTTTAAGCCATATGGAGTGATGTAGACTAGCCGGTTGGGGTCTGAGGGACAAGAGAAACCAGTGGTTGGAGACTCCAGGCGATATGGCTCAGAACCGATGTCAGTGTCACAGATGTATACACACTTTATTCTCATCTTAACGCCATACCGAATCTCATCATTTTCTCATCCTTCCTTCCTCTCTTTTCGTACTTTACAATTCCTTTGACTTAATTTTCTTTCCTTCGTCTTGCACCTCACTGCCTTTTTACTTGCTGTACTGATATGAGCTGAGGCAAGTTGGACTGTTACGCAGTAATACCTGATCCTGTGATGATATTGATGATGGTGATGACGGCCAAATATTCAAATTCTTATTAAGAGTCAATTGTACTGCACAAAACTTCAATGTGTGCAAAAATATAGCTGCGAAGTGTTGTCATTAAAGAAATAAGATATGAGAAAACTTCAGATACATGGCCATTGGTTTCCTTTATAGCATTGGCCACCATTTGGTGAATAGAGTTTAAGGTAAGAGAGGTAAGTCACTTGATGAGATGATAACCCTAACCATTCAAGTTGGTTAGGACATTCCTTATACTTGATTAGTCACAGCTTACACGAATGTGTACTGATACCCGGAGGAGGGTAGTGTTAAAAAAATACGACCTGCTTGGTCACAACGTTGAAGCAATAGACTTCCAGGCTGGTGGTATGAGTTATATGAGAATTCGTAAGACAGAAAAATAGGTGGTTACAAACTCTAGATTAAATGGCTCAAAATCGATCCTAATTTCTATGTAGAACGATCAGTTTGTAAATGACTTACAAACTCCAGGGTTCATAGTGAGACCCAGGCCAAAAGCTGCCATCTTGACGTGTTGGTCAGGCTGGTATATCATAATGACCCGACGAGCTACACTGGATGAACGCTTGTTCCCTCGAGTCCTACAATACCAGGAAGGTCTGTGGATAGTGTTTAGACGAAAAGTAGTTACCGTTAAATTGCAAACTGTTACACTATTATACAGGTTTGAGAAGTTGTGCTACTGACTGGATGAGGTGTGATAACAGTAAGGTGCTCATCTTTGGATGACCTGCAGTACCATGTTGATGCTACCTTTCCCATGGGAATGAGGAGTTAGAAAATGTTAGCATTAACAATAGCACACTCCTCCCTCCTCCACAGTCTTCCGATGTCAGCGGTATGGGTTTCTCCTACCCGGTGTTAGAACGACCAAATCTCAAGCTAACAATCCTGAAAAGGATGTCCCACAAATCACACGAATTATTTTCCCTTTCAGGTACACTGAAAGTATTTGGTCTTATTAAGGATACCGGTAAGGAGAAACCGATGGTTAGTGAGACCACTATCAAAACCAATGGTACCCTGATTACATCCCAGGACAGGCAGCTTAGACATCATGTAGAACACTTCGGAAAAAGTCCAACTGGTTCATAGCAACGCTTCAGCTGCCCAACATCCAGCCACCCTGAACCCGAATGGGATGCAGATGTCGGTCTTCTGATTTTCCTTCAAGTTGAGGAAGTCACATTGAACCTGAAACGATGCAAAGCAGCAGCATCCGACCGTTTATCACCTAAAGTTTTTAAGGATGGCGGTAGTGTATGGGAATCAGAGGTGGTGCTGTCAGACTGGTATACATCACTGATCAACCCAGTCCTTAAGAAGGAAGGAAAGTCTTCTCGTGATAACCATAGGGAAATAGTGTTCAAGATCCTAGAGTCCATAGTTAACCAAAGTCTAACTGTAGCTGGAGAACAGCGAATTCGAGAAAACCAGGCAGGTTTCAGATGTAGACGAGAGTACATAGATTGTATTTCCATTCTCAGACAAGATCTGGCGGCCAACAACTGACACTTGCCATGTTTCCCATGCTGAAGGTGGCACTCGACTCTGTCGACTGTGACGTGCTGTGTAAGTATGTGATCGCGAAAAGAGTACCGAGCAAGTGCATAATGTTTATCAAAGCTATTTAATCGAACTCTCACAGCCATGTCAAGGCCTATGGAGAGTTATCGCGTGAATTGAAGACAGCTAGTGGTATCTATTAGGGATTCCTATTACCACCGTTCCTATTTAACTTCGTCATAGACGTAATAACGGACATAAGCTTAGATATACCTGACTTCACAAGGATTGACCTATTCCATGGAAGTCATCTGGTTAATGTAGACGATGTTTTCCTGCTAGTTGAAGACGCCGACAGAATGCAGGGTCTTATGAACACTTTGAGCGGAAATCTGAGCGTGTTTGGCATGCGTTTTGCATCTGTCAAATGTAAAATGATACTTCAGGACTGGTCTACTACAAGCACTCCCAGTTTAATGATAGGGAGACAAGTGGTGGAGTGTTTCGACCACTTCACCTACTTAGCGAGTTACATCAGCTCAAACCAACTGGTTGCTGACGAAATCTTAGCTCAGATACAGAAGGCCTACTTCGCATTTTGTGCAGTCACCGTCTGAGCAATGTTGAGGTCAGGCGAAGGGGTACTAGGCAAGACAGGCTAACCGATTGATCAGGTTGTGAACTTTAATTAACTGAGATGGCTTGGATATGTACTGCTCATGCCGATCCACCGCCTACCTCGATACACCATGCCAACCGAAGTCGGGTGAGGTTGGAAGAGAGTTCAGAGTGGTCAGATCAAGACGTGGCATCACTCGACGAGGTCTCTGACTATTGTTATTGGTCGTTTACGGTGATGTAGACTGCCTAGTTGTGGTCTCCGAGACGAAAGGAGTCAGTGGTTGAGGACTGACTCTCTGTGACATGACTGGAAATCGGTCACAATAACGCAGATGTATTCACTCTTTGATGTCTTCTAAAACTTGAATATTCGCACTAACTGTTATATCTTCAGATTGTTTATTCTCTCACACAACTTTGTTTACTTCGATGTCGCTCTTTTTCGATACACGTGTTCTTTGTGTACTGGTGTGGAGTGTGGTGACTTGAGCCGATGCGCTTGTGTGCTAGGTTCTATGTCGATTTTGTCAGCCAATCGGTCACTGCACAAAAGAATCCACAATATAGGTGCCCTGGAAGTGTCAACCACCAGCACGCTTCCACTAGTTTACAAGATCCAGACGAGTATAACACATCCTCCTTACCTCTGTCTGCTCCTTTTGCCTTCACTTCCTGAAACTAATGATAATTCTCTTACAACTATTCAACCCTTCACTCTGCGACCATTCCCAACGATCCAAACCTGAAAAATCTCATTCCTAGTCTTCTGAGACTCTGCTATAGGAGCTCTCAACATCCGAACCATATGCCAAATCAGAGACCAGACATCCCTTGTCAGAATTCTAGATTCTTGAGTCATGGATGTATGCTGTGTTTCTGAGAAGAGTATACAGGACCCGAATATGGTTATTAATTTCACCTCACCTGACCATTGGATGAATCTGTAGAATTGACCTAAAGGGTATCCGGAGAACCAATGGTTTGCAACCTTTCATCGACTAAATTACATTCCTTGTCAAGTAATTTATCCTCAACTTCAAAATCTTCTAAGTAGTGTATTAAATATTCCGGTTTAGATATGCAGAAAAAAGGCCGATCAATCAGTCTTATTTCAAATAGTGGTCAAACAACAAGCAAGGGATGCTATGGTGTCCATTTAGGCTCAAAGACACTTAACATGCTAATATATATTCTATTTTCAGCTATCATGTCTCATTGTCATAGTAATACGATAAAGGGAACGATTACCCAGAATTCCTGTAGCTAGCGTTTAGTCGGATATCTCACCAAAGTCATAAGTGACCTCAGGTGGTCGATGTTAAATTGAACTTTCGTATGTGAGATAAATTTAACTAGCAACCAGCCTATTAGAGCTGTTGTGACTTCTGAAATATGTAAAGTGAAAAAGGAGAACTATCTTCAGTACATTCAAACTGTCAAAGGTGTAAATATGTAAATGAAACAGACTTAAGTCGTAAGTAAAAGGAAATAAAAGAAAAATAAACAATAAGGCACCAAAGAATTGAGAATATAAAGTGTTTATTCTTTATAAATTAAGAGATAACGTAGTTGAAATTACGCTTATATAATGCACAATGATAACACTGTCTTGATTATGCAACAGTAAGCTGAACTTTCAGTTATATTTCTCGCACACAGATGTAGATGTGCACTGCTTAAGAGTCCTAAACTAAGATAAAAATAGTTGTATAATGCTTTTAGGCTTTAAATGGTCACCTAAATGATGTTAGTGCCGGATAACTACTACGTTGAAAACAACTAAACGATCCACAAAATACACTAACTGAACTATGCTAAACAAGTCAGGATTATCACTGACACTAGATGAAGAAAACAGTGGTTTAATTTGATCACACTGAGAAAACACTGAAAGTAATCTTAAATCAGTTAGTTTATAGTGCGCTCATGGGAAAGTCTCTCTTTTTTTCTTATTATTTTTATTATTTACGCAGAAATTGCTTAGTATTGAAAACAATAAAGCCAAGAAAAATGACGACAGACTTACATTATGCCTTCTTTTGCGTTTAGCATCAGGAAGTAGAAAAGCTGCTGCATACGGAGTGAATACAGCTGTGTAAATGACAAAGCCTAGGACAAGCCAATCCCATACAGCTTTCACAGGACCATAATGTTTTAAAGTGAATGGATGAATACGAGGAGAGTGTAACTTTTGCTCTGGATTCAATTCAGGTCCCATAGAAAACATCTATTATGTCACGGAAGAAGAAGAAGCACAAAAAGAAGGAGAAAGAGGAAAACGGTATGCCATGCAAAATGTGCATACTTCTAAGCAATTCCTACATGGAGAGTATACAAAATGAACAGACTTTTGGCGTTTAAAATAAAACGAGGAAGTATGTCACATTTCGATAAATATCATGAAAAAATGTAGTGCTCATTTGGTACACAGCATAATGAGTAGAATTTATTGCTCATAGACGTAGTATATCACTTCGAAATGGTCATGAGCATCAAATGCTGACCAAAACATCATCTACATTGAAATGTTCTCAGTAACCTTGTCCACAGCAGTGCAGTAGGCAATGAGCCACACCTACTGTGTCAGGGCTAATGATGCTACTTGGCTGTCCAAACCCCCGTAGGTGGGGCGGTGTTCAAACCTGTGAAAGTCAAATACCTAAACCAATAAGCTGCAGCTCCCGAAATATCACCCAGTCAATAATACCGTCTCACTATCTGCTATATTAAACAGACTAGTCTAAAATAGATATTAGAAATTGTTATTTTCTGTTGTTGATTGATTTGGACCAAACTGATCGACCTCTGTCGGCATAAGGGCTTCTGTAAGGATAGTATGATATAGGCAATGATTCCGTTTTAACATTAATGGTGAAAAGTGGCCAGCAATGGAATTCAGAACGTGCGTTTCATCTCATGTGGATGGAACTCCTTGTACCCATTGTTTCAAAAGCATGAGAGTTATCCACCAGCCTACTAAGTCATGATGGACATTCTTCGTGCACAGAAACCCTCTTGCCAATAGAGGCCGATCAACTCAGTCCAAACCAATTAACAATGGGAAGTAACACATTCTAATGTTAAATTATATCCGATATATCAGAATGTTCGCTGATGGCATGGTTTTCAGACGCACATACAAAAATCATGTGTTGTTTAACGCTGAACTGGATATTCGACAATAAGCATATAAACCAGTTTGATATTTATTGGAAAACGTCTGGCCCCACAAGGTTTAAGGTCATACCCCTCAACACTTTACTCAAGATTTACTGCTTGGGCTGTCCTGTTGGAAAATGATTTTCAGTTAAGCATACTAATAAATTACCCTGCATTAGTCAGCGTCGCATCTTTAGTTATGAATGGAATCTAATAGTTAGGTGATACATCAAGTTAACTTCATTTTGTGTCGAACTGATTTTTAATGAAACAAACATTCAGTCAGTTAGTATCAATTTGAGGGATTGGATTAGTGAACAACAGTCCAAGCTATCCAAACTCATATCATCACATAAAGATGGGGGACGAAGAAACTGAGATAATCGAACCAAGAGATGTAAGAATCCGTATACGAAAACTAGGAACAATGAAGAAAAAGAAAAAAGTATGATGTAGTTGTCAAGATGAGAATTAAGGAATGGATGCACCTGCCGCACTGCAATCGATTCTGAACCATATAGCCCAGACCGTACGACCATCAGTTTCAGTGACGTTCGACAGTCACATTGTAGGGATTGCTTTAAAGATTATATTAGTATCTATTTTTTCCGTTGTTGGTTCCAAGTCTGTGTGTGTGTGTGTGTTCATATTGAATCTGAGAATATTGAATATATTTTTTTGATAGAATAACCAGTGACTTGTTTTTATTTTTCCTTAGAGGCTTTCTTATCAGCCACCTGTAGTTAGTTATCGAGGACTGTTTTAGGTGACCGTTTAAAAATGTTCTTTTTTTCCGAATACAATCAAGTAAAGTATCTACCTGAAATTCGACCAAGACATATTGTTAGTTTCTCAGAATGTAAACAACACGAATGTGGTATACTACCAGTAAAATATATGTATCTTTATTACAAAAAAGTAAAACAAGGGCTCTGCGTAAGAATTTAATTCCATATTAGACCCGCTTATTTAATATAGCCCAAAGACAGACAGTAATATTGACTGGATGACGTTAAGAACACAATGTATTTCTCGTGGTCACAATCACTTTGATATGAAAAATAATATGAAAGGTTTAAATTTAACATTAATGATGGATAGTGGCTAGCAGTGGAATCCCAGACACACGTTTGGTCCTATTTAGTTCTCGTCAGCCAGATATGCCTGTCCCCCAGTGAGCAATGTTGTTCCCATTAGGATTCGAACCCTGAACAGATTGCTTCGAACCCCAGAGCGTTATCCACTAGGCAGCTCAGTCACGATAGCCTTTTTTTTGTGCGACAGGTATAGTTTTTATGTTGTTACTTGTATTACCCCGTCGTTGATTCGACTGAATTGATCGGCATACACTGGCATAGTGACTCCTGCACGAATGCCTCAATATTGCCTCTGTTTAAATTTCATATTGATGCATAATTGAAAATTATTCATGTCAGTTTCACCCCCTCCCAGCTTGACAAACGCTCTACCAAATAACAATAAATATCTAGTCCATAGTTGCACTGGAAGAACGTGAGTGCCGAGTCCCATTTGATCATTATATAAGCAAGTTCTAATAATATTCGGCTGGGATTACATTAAAATTTACCTATATAGTGTTACACTAAATACTTTGCAAATAAAAAGATTAAAAAAAAGTACTAGTAGGAGGATAGGAATGCTGATTAACTCAATGATTGATAGTAACGAACACTGAATCCTGGGAAACATAAACATACATGATGGTGTTTATCCACCATCAAACCCTTGCCTTTTCAATGTTCTATGCTGTTTACAATGTTTTCTTGTTTTGTGTCAATGTTTTATTCTTCAGAAATTCACTGGTTACTGTTACAAGCTAAAAAGTAATCTCGTGTCCTAATTATTTTTGTGCTGACGGAGGTCATCTGTTGCTAGGACTACGATAGATATTTGTATGTCAAGGCGCGACATAATTAGCTTATATTACTTTTTCGATCTACTTCTGACTTACATGCTGATGTGAATAGTGACAACTTGAACCAGGACACTTGTGGGTCAGACTGTAGGTTGATTTGTTTGCTTGTACACAAGTGGAGATTCAGATACCAAGTCGACACACAGATGAGTTTATTGATCATCCTCATGACAAAAATCAAGAGTTTCAAGCTTATATTTATCCAGTTATGGAAATTGGAAATTTAAAAAAATATATCTGAATTAAGAGGCGATTTTAAAGGCCATCCTAGCAACGACTGAAACAGACAATTAGGTTTCTTCATTTCGGTTGAAAAGGCAGATTTTCATAAAATAGAAACGTCTAATTGGTTATTTCACCTGTTGCTAGGTTAGCCTTCCAAGTCACTCCGGATTAAGGGTTGAATGTAAAGAAAGGCTATCTAAATCACTGAAGTTCACAATACGCCAGCAACAGTAAAAGTTAAGAAGGATGGAACTTATGAATAAACACAACAGAATCCCTATCCGTCTTTGAATAGTCCACTGAATTGGCTTTTTCAGTATTCCAATAACATTTTCAGCCATACTACTCTCTTATTCTCCTATAAAGTAACACTAAACGTAGAGAAATATTGAAGTATATTTTAATAAATATTTCTTAGTTTTTATTTCGCCAGTAAGGTTAAATACATCTTACACCCACTTTTATTTGTTAGTAAATAATTGTAATGCAAATTAATAAAGTAAATATATTTATGTATCAGATAATAAGTCAAACTTGATGTGTGAGGCCTTACGATATTACCCAGACGGAAGTAGATAGAGCGGGATTTGAACAACCAACCCATTCCTTAAAAGTTGAATCCCTTCCTAGTTTTTGTTTCCCCACTTATTCAAGCTGGCTAATAAATTTAGAAAAACTGTCAACTATGTATTTCTACTCACACATGATACAGCGGTTTGTCTACGTGAGTAATGGGTGACAAGTTCTCGTTTCTAAGTGAGATACAAGTATATTCACCTGGTAGGCTCCAAATATAACGAAACTCATCTGCTGAATCCCGCCATAAATCATTACCAACGAGCTTATCGGTTTCTTGATAAAAGCAATATTAAAAAGCCCCTCAGTAGACTAATCGAGTTACCTAAGATTATTACTTATTATGATATGCATTCGGTAAACACAGGCGCCAGTTACGACCCAGAACATGTTCAGTGGGACAGTTACCAATATGTCAATATTAGTATTGTGAAACAAGACCGATAATTTACGAAACAATCTATATCAGTAAAAAGAACTAACTGCTGCAACGGCCGTATTTAACAGTCGAATGGTTGAAAGAACGTACAGCTGCACAATAAACGTAAGGATGAACTGGTAATTGGATATATATCTGCTATAACGGATTTCGTGGGTTTCTGAAAGTCAGCATGTCCTGAGACTTCCACTACGCGAAGGCATCGGTGATACCATCCGACTTACTCCTTATACTTTATTTAGGTGGAGGTGTAAATATTATCACACATAAATTAGATGTGAAACGTATTCAAGTGACGCTATAACCTTACACATAGCAGGAATTGTTAGTTCAATAATTATGGTAAGATACAGGATTTCTAAAAAATGATATGACTTAATGAGAATTTAAGGGCTACGATAGTCACATCTATCAGTAAAACTGTAACTCAGAATTGGATCAATAAGGTCACCATATTAAGAAAACTGACCTCCGCCACTTTATCTGAAACATGACGACGGGATGCTGTCCATGAGTCAGTATTGACCACAATTCCACCACATCCACGTGTAACACCAATAGTTGAATTGCCTCCAGAGATGTGTGAAGTGGTACTGACAATAGAATGACCTCTACAGACCAAGTAATTACGACTTTTCTTCGGTTCTTTTGCGACATTTAAAGAGATACTGACAACAGAATGAGAACGAGGAGCAGGTTGTTTCATTTCACCTGACTGCATTAAACATGTACAGCTTAGATCTCCCTCTGAAAAAGTATGTTTTTGAAAAGCATATCACATTAAATAACATCAATTCCTAAGGTTTGATTTATTCATTGTGCTTGAGATGTTATAATACACTGTCTCACCAACCGATCTCATATCTATGAATCAGAAATGTAACGGCATAAACGGAATGAATGTTATATCTGATGAAAGATAAGATAGTGGTTCTGGAAGGTGCCCTGAAAATCCATAAATCTTATGAAAATACAGGTATACGAGTAGGAAAATACGCACTGACCTTTTCAGTCGCTTCCTTCTCAGTGAAAAAGAAAGGTAGAAAAAAAACCTATTTGTTTATGAAGTTAAAATCCTATTTTATAAAAATTAGCTTTAATAGGATTCCTGGATGTCTAGAACTGTTATATATCACACTCAGTGCTCAAACCCCTTCGAAATATTCGTAACAATTATGCACTAGATATTCACAAAACTGTATAATCTTGAGGTATAGATGAGGAATCGTTTGCCTTAGTTAGTCTCCATAAAGTTCGTGTGAGATCTACAAATTCACAGAGTGTAACAGAAAAGCTGTATATACCTCCTATTTTAATGTTATATACCAATGAGTGTCAAAGTACACGAACAACGACTGAAACAAAATCAAATCGTTGTTACACTGAGCATTAAGAATTACATACAGTTAGACAGACAGATAGACAAACAATTGCATCGTTAAAAGTTGCCACGTCTCACAGCAGTAAGCGAAGAACGACTGGTTGGAAAAAGAAAGTGTCAAAGTCGAAAAGTCCATGGCAGGAGAAAGAATTTGAAAAGTGAAGGTTAGTGAAAATGTTCAAACTTTAGAAGACATCAGAAAGTGAATACACGTGCACTATTGTGACCAACTTTCAGCTGTCACAAAGAGTCTCCAAACACCGATTCCTATTAGCCTGAAGACTTTAACTAGGTATTCTGCATGTCTCTACATGGCTCAGACCAACAGAAACAGACCTCGTGGACTGGTGCCATGCCTTGGTCTGGCTGCCCTTGGTATTCTTTCAGCATAATCCTACTTCGGTTAATATTTCACGTCAAGATGGTAGGTGCTTCGTTATGCGCAACACATGTTCAAGCCATTTCAGTTGGTGAAGCTTCACGAAGTAATCGACTAATTTGCCTTGCCTGCCTAACATCCACGCCTAAACTCGAGATTACTCACACGGTGATTTTACGATGCATAAAGTTAAGCCCAGTGATAACACAATTCAAAAGATACTAAACAGTCTTAATCATATAGTTTTTTCTCTTATAAAGTTAATACATATTTTTGTGACACAAAGAATAAAAGAATTCTAAGAATTTATAGAACTGTTTATTAGCAAATTACACCTAGTAATATCTACATTGTACTTTTGAGATGAATTATCCTTTAGTCTTTGCTGCTTCTTCGCTTGTCTTTTTTATTTCCTTCCGATATTTCTCTTTTTTTTACTCTGGAACACCATTACTTAAATGTCAACTTTAATTAATTTACCCAGCGATATCCCAAAACATACTACTTATATTGGCTTTGTGTAAGCGGCACACATCATACAGGTTGTGATTCATTCTTTCGGCTGAATCAGCTTTAATTACAAAGGCTTAGTTTTCTTGCTATTCAAAATCTTCAGAGTTTTTTCACGTAGAAGGAAAAAAGGCCAAAAGAAAGAAACCGGTATTCCACTCTGACACTTATATATCTGATTGCCTGTCTCCAGAAAATCCATAGCTAACTTGTGATTAGGCTGTGGTTTAGAATTTTCTGAGTTTTCACTGATTTATAATTAAGTCTATGTGGGAATTTGAAACAGCCAGTCTGTTTGATGAATTTGTGATGCATTTGCGCAATAAATACCGAACAATCTTGTCACACATTTACCTTTCAATGAACTTTATGAGAAAGGTGAAAAAATAGGGTCGGTTAAGGTGACGTACATTGGGAGGAGTAACCTAGGGTGGTGGAGCATATCCCTAAATGGCTGAAAAGACAATTCCATTCAAATAATCCGATAAATAGAAGGGTCAGGCAAACGTCACCGTCTATAGGTAAACACATCATAGAAACAGGTCACAGGATTGACCCCTAAAAAAATACTTTAGATCAATAAATGAAAAGGCGTCAGGACTCTATACTTAGGTTCACTAAAGTCTTACCTCAGCTCTAGTTCAACCCCACTTTGTGTATTCAAAAACATTTATAAAGTATTTATAAACTTAATTGCTCCTGTGGAGATAGTTACATAGGTAGAACGACTCGGCAAGCCCACCATGGCTTCATTGATCACTGTCCAGCGTGGTTAGATAAAGGAACAGTGAGATCTATCAAAAGCTAAATACTTGTCCATCTAGTAGATACTGAGCATAAGATTTATAAAACCTCAGCATTTACTATTATTTACAAAGTCCCATTACAATACTCAAAGTTTGTGCGCCTCCAATTGCTAAGGATAACAGAAGCCACAGCAATTAAAACTTTCAAACCTAATTTATGTATTCAGAAGATTTTTGTTCGCTTTCTTTCCCTCCCATGGTCTTCAACCCAGGTACAATTACAGTAAATTCCATCCCGGTCACCCGGATAAATGTAAATATTATCTTTCTGTACTCTTGTGATTTTATTTTTCAGCCTTAGTTTCAAAATTGGTTAAGAATTTCAACATTTTATTATCAAATTGTTATGCGACAATAGCTTTATTCCCCTCTATCCCTACACACACATACACAGGGATTGACTGATGAGAATATATAAACTTTCCGAGATTTTTTGTTATTATCACCTTTACCGCTATCTTCCAATTCATATACCCGAATTAATTTAACCATGTTGATCCCACATCAACCGAGCTATGAGACCTGGCTGGTGCTAGTTCGAACCCTGCGCTGGCTCAAATTTTCATTTCCTCTTCAATCCTCACCAGATATCATTAATACGAATCTATCAAACCACGGGTATCTTAGATAGTCACACAGAAATAAATTCACACAGTTCACAATCTCAAATTCATAGAGAGGAGACGTATAGATAGTACCAAACGATTGAATAGGCTCATTGTCAAGACGACAGAAGAGAAGCTGCAGGTTAGATGTCGCCAATCCCACTTCAACCTATTAACCCTTCTACAGTATTTGGTATCATAATCACGAATTTCAGTAAACCACAGTGAGTTTGTGTAAGAGGCTGAGAACCATGTTAAGATTACCTTATACACTGAGCTAGTGGTTTTCGTGAAGGGACATTATCATTAGAGCATCACTGACGTAAATTCACTCCGAATGGATATTTGCAACAAGCTACTTTGTATAAACTCAAACAGATCAGCGTTTAGTGAGTGATGACAAGGGAGCGTGTGGGACATGAATGGTTGTTATTTCGTGTATAGACTTCTGAGATAGGTTTCTAAATGCCTCACTGGTTGACTAACATCATTTGAATGAGTAAAAAAAAGAAAAGCAAGCGGACAATGTTGCTTCCAATTGGATCTCATCAGACTTCACTCTACTATACACAACTTTCAACAAATTTGTTAAAAAAAACCAATCAAGGTAACTTGTGAGACAACGACAACGAGCTTTCGGAACACCTGTTTACATTGTCGTGTCATACTAAACATTCGTATTAACCATTATATATGACCAAGTCTTAGTATAATCCCAGCGTGTTTAGAAAATCGAAAACAAGGTGTTTCCGAACGTTTCGCCGTGTATACCACAGCTTCTTCAGCAGAATATTTGGATATTTATCCAACATCTAAATATTTACTGTCAAATGGTACATGTAGGAATTTCTGACTAAATCAATGGTTAGTTGACTTGTTGTTCAGATTGATAGTTTGTAACTGGTCATCGTAAATTCAGATTGACTTTAAAGGCCACCCTAGCAATGATAAAAATAACCAATTAGGTTTCTTCATTTTGGCTAGAAAGGCAGATTTCCATAAAATACAGAAGTTTGATTGGTTATTTCAGTTGTTCCTAAGGCGGGCTTCAAAGTCACTTGTAAATATTATGGAAATGTATGTCGTTCGTTGTTTATTGTCCTAGGTTTGGTATAAGAGTATATTTCAAACCTTCAAATTCTGTCGAGAAAACCTTAGTCATTCCAAACATGACACAAAACAACTGTGTGCATAAGATAAAATGTATGGACTGTGAGGTTAATTATATTAGTGAAAGTTATAGGCAGTTGAAAATTAGAGTGAATGAACACAGGTTATGTAGCAAACACCCACCAAAGAATGAAGTGAGATTTAAAAGTTTGGAAAAGAGATAAGCAATATCAATACATGCCATTGAAAGTCGGGAACAAGATTGGTGATTGATGACATAATAGGAAAGGGTTTTCATTCATATAAAGAAAGATTGCCTTCGGAATCCCTGCATATTTTGACGTCAACAAATGCTTTAAACAGAAAGGAATGAATAGATTAGTCACCTATCTGGCAGACTCTAATTCGACAAAATATTAAAACTTTCAAATTAGACTTTTAAAAACCAAACAAAAAATATAGGTCAACTTCTGTTCATTCATAATCAAGCTTTTCGTATTTTTATGCAATAAACAACAAACGACACACATTTCCATAATATTTACAAGTGACTTTGAAGCCCGCCTTAGGAACAACTGAAATAACCAATCAAACTTCTGTATTTTATGGAAATCTGCCTTTCTAGCCAAAATGAAGAAACCTAATTGGTTATTTTTATCATTGCTAGGGTGGCCTTTAAAGTCAATCTGAATTTACGATGACCAGTTACAAACTATCAATCTGAACAACAAGTCACCCAAAGTCTTCAGGTGGGTGGGTAGACTGAGTGAGGCAGAAAGACACTTAGGTGCCACTTTCGGAATACCAGTTTAACGAACAAATAACGGTGGTCGCCCAATACAACTGTGCTCAGATAACCACCTATTTTTAGTTAGCACAAATTCCAAACATAAACAAACACACTGTCTGATGTGGCGTCCACCAACCTCAACTCAGCAACAGACACAGATTGACCCCATTGCTATCAGTCATCGCTGGACAGAATCGGTGGAAGACTGCCGCTCCTTATGAAGGACGTGTTTGGATAGTGACCACGTGTTCCTCCGAGCGCCTGCGTCTCAATGGACATAGGAAACATTTGGCAACAAAACCATTACGAGTGCTGCTCGACAACAAAAACACCAAAGCTGTGTTCAGTCACAAGTTGGATAGGCAGTTATCGGAACAGAACACTATCACTCATCCACAAGAAGCTTCGTACCATCTCCAGTCTGCTGTAAAAGCAGCGCTCAAGACCGTAACCGACACCGAAAGAGTCGCCAAAAAGAACCAGTGGATATCACCAACTTCTTCCGAACTAATCGATGCATGTGAACGCATCCCTGCCTGCAGGCTATCAGTACAATGAGGAGCGAGCACAACTCAAAAGTACATTGAGAAAAAGTCTACGCAATGACCATGAACAATGGTGGGCAGTGAAGGTTAAAGAGATGGAAAAGGCAGCGGCGATTAGTAACACTAGACAGTTATTTAGACTTAATAAGGAGACTGTAGGGAATAGGTCAACAACAGTTAGTGAAAACATAGCCCTGAAGGACAAAACCGTGATTCACTCCCAAGGAAGATGACCTGAACGATGGGCAGAACACTTAGAGGAACAATTTAACTGCCATCCAGCCACCATTGCATTGTCGCTATCCAGTCGGATCCTGAATGGAATATTAAGATAGGCCCACCAACACTTGCAGAAGTTGAGAAAGCGGTAGATAACCTGAAACGAGGAAGGCCAGAAGAACCAGATGGACTAACTCATGACGTTTACAAGGATGGTAGTAGGGTGCTCTTAGTCAGGTTAACGGAAGTGTTAACCAGTATATAGGAATCAAATACGATACCCTCTGACTGGTCTAAATCACTGATTATCCCAGTCTTCAAGAAAGGCGAGAAGCCCTCTTCAGATGACCACAGAGGAATCAACCTCACGAATAGAGTGTCTAAGATTCTAGGTTCTATAATTCTTCAACGCTTCAGTGAAGCTCGAAAACAACAAGCCAGAGAAAACTAGGCCGGCAGCATTTAGATTTGGCCGCGGGTGTATCCACCAAATATTCGCATTGCCCAAGGCTCTGGAACACGGGCACACTTACCGACACCCGACAATACCTGAATTTCTGAACCTGAAGGCGGCATTCGACTCCGTTGATCCAGAATTCTTATGACAATGTCTCACACTGAAAGGCGATCTGAGTAGGTACATCACCTTATTGGCGCTCATGAAGAGTAGATGAAATGCAATCCAGTTACCGGATGAAAATATACACGATTTGATAATATTTTATGAATTTAGTCTACTCACCGGTAGAAATAGCCGAAGGGGAGTTCTCTGGTTCACAACGAGATACAGATTGCACAGATTCAGCATTTTTATTCTGTACAACAGCTGACTGATTGGATGTTTTTGCTTCTTCAACAACTGAATCACGTAGTTGAGTACCACATAGATGTCTGAGGAAACTTACACTGATTTTTCTATCCTCCACTGGACCTGTAAATAAAAAAATACAGACAAGTTCATGATGACCCTATAAAATTCGGCCAAAACACATCATAAAACACTAATGTCATTTTAAAAAATTCTAATGTGAATAAATGACAGTAACAGAAAAAAATTAGGATAAACTAAAAACTACATGAATTCAGGCGAAGTTCCATCAAATGTCGATTACCCAGGTTTTAAATTCTATCTATATGCGTTATTATAGACAGCAGTTCCGCAACCGTAAGAAAAATTTAGTGAAAGTTATTTCCTGCTTTGAAACGCTAATTCATTAAATTAGGCGCTCATCTTTCACCAGTGAGTTGCAAGTTTGAATCCTATACTATCTAAATAGAATTGGTTCACAAATCTTGCCATCAGCGTTCACACGACAGTTGCGGTTAAATTAGTAGTCGAGTTGTAGTAGTGCAATCATACACTTTTCTAGTTTTACACTTTTCGATTATATGAAGAAAGCAAAACCGGTAGCAGCATCATGAGGAGAATTTAAATATCACTTGAAATTAGTTGTAAGGCAATTTAAATGATCTCAGAGTTAGTATCGTTTAATTAAAGCTTCGTTGATTGAAGATAGGCACATTTTTTACCTTAGAAGCGAGAGATGACTGAGAAAAAAACATTCACAGATTTTTGATACTGACTTGAAGAACTAATTTACAAGTATCAAGGAGAATGCAGCTCAAATGTTTGTTGTTCAAAAACTATCTAATCCCACCATGAGGAAATAAATAATCAGCGACAACTGACTGAAATCGCCAACTGTTCACCTCCCTTTTCTTGTGCTATCAGTTCTGAAACTGGATATCAGAGAATTCGCCAACAGATGTTTTGTGCCTCAGTGATACATGCAACGATAAGTCCTACATTTATGAGTATAAATCTACACACTGCAAAGTTAACACCTATTCTTTTGCTGATAGTGTGGTGAGAATGAATGAGAAGCTACTAGAACTACGCTTCTATCTCTTTTTCTCTATCACTCTCCTTTTTACAGATAAACAACAAAGTGAGTTGACCTACTCTAATTTAAACAGTTCTCATCTAATTTACTTGTAATCTCACATTATTATACCAGACCAATGCGAACACTATCACTTAGTGGGATGCAGGTACATCCAGCTGATGAGTAGTAAATGGGAAGAAAGCCGCATCCTGGATTCCACTGCTAGCCTCCACTAAGCGAATAAAAGCATAAAGTTTTTATCTGAGTTTGTAAGATTTGTGGGTATTGATTGGTTTTAAGGCGACATTATTCACAGAACGAGATAATCTGGAGAACCATTACAAAACCTGGCAGCACTGAACAGTTGTTTCGTCTTAGTGTGAGACTACTCAGCAACGTGCACCCACGACCACACAAGAGATAAGTAGCCGTGATCTGTGGAGTCAACCTAGTTTTCACCTTAGTCTTACCATCACAAACCTACCTGAGTCAATAAGTCTGATAAAAATAAGAATTTTATTCAAAAACCAATGGATTAAATTACCTTCACATGTAATAAAATGAGGGAAAATAACAGATATAAGATGTTGAACAAGAATGTATTCGAGACCAGGAAAGGGATAACTGTGCCATGCAGAGTACCAAGCATGTCACAGTCAGTGAATCAGCTAATCACCAGAAGTATACAATTTGCTTTGCAGTATGCTCTACTACAGTGCCTGAATTCTACTCGAGTGTTGATTTGCTCTTTGTTCCTAACAAAGAAGAGAGAATTCTTTCCCTTTAGTATACGTAGTGTGGATCCCACATAACTTGGTGTCCCAAATCAATGTTTTAGTTATATTTCTATCTTTTTTTAAGTCATTGGTTGACGTAATAATACTTGAAATACATGTTCCATTTGGAAGGATATATTTTTCTTCCAGTGGAACAGGTAGTAGGTATGCAACGTACATCGGGGTTAACAGTTCACTTCAGTGATCCTTATGTCATATGTTGTTCATATGATAAAGTCTAAGGTCTTCGGTGACTTCATTTCTGCTTTACGTAAAATCTTTCATTTGTCACCTAGTAAATCGTGACAACACATCTGCCTGTAACCAATAGTAAATCCCTGTATTCACTATCCAGAATATGCATATTAAAAGACAAATACGTAAGTCGCAGATGCGGCTTTAGTAAGAAACATCAATCATCTGGGAAATCTCAGAGTATTATTCACTAAGAAACAGTATATAGTCAGAACATCCCTCAACAGAATAAGAAAAGAACGCTCAAATGAAAAATCAGAACAGGAATTATACGTTAATGATGAGATTCTCGGAAGAGTGGATATCCTAAGAAGTTTATTCTGAGAAGAACGAAATGCACCAGCAGCCTTGCGCACATTCGTTCAGTGGGGAACGAGCTACACATATTGTGTGAAGGCTGGTGATACTACCTGGCTCCTCAAACCTAAAGAGGCGGAGCGGGCTTCGAACCTGTGACCCACTGGTTCATAGATATCTCACTAAACCATTAGCATGTACGAGAGGATAAGATATCGAAACTGATGGAAAACATGTGTAGCTCAGTATGATGATGGTGGTGGTTTGGTGTTCTCTGAGCTTTTTTAGAAGTTTCACTACCAGGCTTGGTGACATCCTCAGCACTAATATTATGAAGACAAAAAAACCAATAGGTAGAGGAAAGAAGTTTCCTTCCAGGTAGGTTGATATAAGTTTCCAACACTACGTGCTCATTAAGTTAATCTAAAGTATATAAATACCCTTCTCATGTGACCACTAACTGCAGTGATCAATTCACACATAATTGTGGATGCAGGTACATAAAAAGGACTAACAGAAGAGCGTCTGCTTGATTTCATGAGGACATTCCAAGACATTCTAGTTTGAAAAAGAGTAAAGTTTTCACAAGTGAAATAGTCACAAACCTTGTTAAAACTGCATACCAAATAGATTGGTCCGAAGTCTTCAGGATAACAAATAGACAAGAATTGACAAGATTACTACGCTTTTCTGAATCCCTTGCAATCAAATACTTAGAACCTCATCTTTGTACACAAAAATAAAATAACAATTCATCTTTCTTTACCCTGGTAATTCAATGTTTCTGTAGTGACCTCGTTTTCCTCTCGAACTACTGAGTTCTGATCATAGTTATTTTGTTGCTTTTTTTGATGCGTATGCTTACGTAATTCCTTTATTGTTTAGCTACTTCGTTCCCTGAAATCTTTGTTTTTCAACCAGGTTTCTCTCCTTAAAGATCTAAAATTATGAGTCTAATCACTTATAAATTGTCATTTGTCTTGATTAAGACACAAAACTCCCGCTCTTTTCTCTCTCTTGAGGTCATTCTGTCACCGTTATTGCCAAGTTTTCGAACCGCTTTCCTCTCTTTTTACATACTTAAAGTATGTTTTGTATTTGAAAAGTCAAATAAATTCGTCATGATTTTAGGTTGTCTACCGTCGATGAATGTATGTGAAATGGGAGAACATCCTTTTATAATTTGCTGAGTGCTGGCTAGAGTGGAACCCAGGATGAGCGTTTCATCCTGTTTGGAACTCACCAGATGGAAGCACCTACACCCCAGTGACTGATATTGTTCCCACTGAGATTCGAACCCAACAGTCATCGCTTCAAACACCATGTTATTATCCACTAAGACATTGAGGCACGAGAGCTAGTTCGATCCTGAATAATAACGCGGAATTATGAGTAACAATAAACAATGGGATGACATAATTTTATCCTGCAAATCTGTGGGTTGTCGCTTTTCTTCACACAAAACACTTTGTCAGACAAGACTGTCTCACACCAGATGTGATCGTACAACACAGTTTACATTGATAAGTTATTATTATCATCGTTATTTATCCGGCTCATAATATAGTATCAATGTGTATCGTGTGAAATAAAAAATTTGATAACTGTACATAAGCTAAAGAACTCTAATTTCAAGTGATGGGTCCTAGGCTCAAGCCCCTTTCCATTTACTTCGGTTTAAAAGATAGGGCAGAATTATAAGTCATAACATAACAGGTATGGTTCGTAAATATGAGTATAAACTTGGGCACTGTGGTAGGATTTAACTCCATATTAGTTTTGTTTACTTGATGTATAACACACAGTGATACAGTATTATTTACTTGATGACGTTTCAAGCATAAGTTACTATTGCTCATAATCAGATCAACGCAATCACATCAGTTTCGATATCTAACTTTGCTACGGTTCATAGCCTAATACATAAATTGATCCCAGGTTTGGTTATATTATTATTATTATTTGGTAGCAGATTTATGTCCTGCAAGTTGACATATAGACTGCAAGACTAGACCACCTAAGAAATAATAAAGTTGAAGTTTCCCAGACATTTGATATGCCTTCTTCTGTATGACTGCAATTATTTTCCGACTGTTTTCTGCTACTGAGAAAACAATGTTTCCTTCTAAGACTTTCCTCTTATGGCAGGTGAAGTATTAGTAGAAAAAAAGTTGGATGAAATAATAACCGAGAAGTTTGTCACTTTGAACAAATAAAGATAATAAATGAGATTTTTTCAATGCTAAATCATAAAGTATATGTAACTTCAGTGTAAAACAGATCAATTGATTTTTTTTTAATGCAGCGCCGTGAGAATTCATGTTATAAACAACTAAAACTTAGGACATTACAACAAGGTTAAGTTCCCAAAAAAAGTGAGACATTATTGTTTACTAGATGCTTCTAGAATTCACTGACCCTTGTAACATCAAGGTAATCACATCATTTTCTCTCTTGAATTTTATCGTTCTAATCTCTTACCTATTTGCGGTCTCTGAGATAGAAAAATCCTCGATCAACCTGGAATAGGTGCAGAGTTATTCTTGTTGCAAATATTAGACGTTGGTTACCTTGATATGGTAATCAACGCTGACGTAGAGTTTTCTGAAAGCCTTAAGCTAAAGTTAGAGTATGTTCGGCAAATCTTTCACACCCGACATTTGTAAGATGACTTGTTTACATCGACAACCAGTTTAAGGATAGGGGAGCAAAATAGTGGAATGTGTTGACAACTTCACCTGCTTGAGAAGTTGCAACAGCTCGAACAGGTTAGTAGCTAACGCAACCTCGGCTCAGATACAAATGGCCTGTTTCATATTTACCAACTTATGCCATTGATGGAGTCAGTCGGATATCCAACTATCTACTAAATGACAAGTTTATAAAGCAGCAGTATGTTCTCTCCTATTATACAACTGCAGCACATGGTCGTTGAAAGTAGGAGAAAAGAAATGATTACAGCCTTCTGTTCATCTTCTTCGTAGCATTGCACATACTGTAATCAACATGTGAGCAATGCAGATTTTAAACGTATAGTGCTAGGCAAGTATATAGACCCAATAGATTAAATGAACCTTCACAAATTGAGATGACTTGCTTATATGTTGCATACAGCAAGGCACTGCATACATTGGTTTGTGATCCCAGCCGCGTAGGATTTTATATAATTTCTAAAATTACCACATGTACACATAGAATTTAACCAAAATTGGCATCGGATGAGAAAGTTATCAATGTAAAGACCAGTGAGCAACTGCTCAATCTATGTTTCAGTTTCCTAGGTAGTTTCAATCCTTGACTCCTTCTGCAATCGAACACAATATATGACGTCTTCCTACACATATCCCGGTTGCCAAGCTAATGATTTGAAAATCAGTGCAATCTCGATGTTCACGGAAAGCTCATCAACCACTTTGTTTCACTGCCCTTCAAACCTTTTTGACCTCACAATTGACAGTTTCTTACCATAAGTAAATACATGATGCATAAAACTGGAAAGTTGTTTTGTCTTTAATCTCTTAATATACATAGTGATCAGTACATGTTAATGTCAGCAGTAACCCTGATTGGCTATTTCCATGCTTGGCCATCATTTTAGGTTATATCAAGAAAGTCAATTGTGTGTATGCAATGAACTCTCCAAAAATCGTTTTTATCTGTATCAGTTGTGCCTTTATTAAAATGCTTTTTACTCTCAGACTACAGTCCATAATATTTCATGGGAGATTCAGGGTAACACTTCCTTATTACTAGACATCCACATTATAAAGCAAATAGATACTATCTGGTATCGCCGTGTACAGGTCATATCAGAGAAATAAAATAAGGAAATAATCTGACCAAAAGTCATCGAAATATATCATACAAAAAGGTGAAGAGATAAGGTCAACAACGGAACATGACTAAACGATAGAGATTAAGATAAGTCATGCATACATCTGTACGACTGCGATCAATTTTGAGTCATTTGGCTTTTAGTTTTCAACCATCAGTTTCCGTTATTTCTGTCTCATAAAAATAACTAATTACAGGCACAAACATGGACATTTCGATCAAAGAAGCATATAACTCTTCTTAAGAAGAAAAATCAAAATAACTAAAAGTAAACAGTTTGTCCTACTAGTTCAATACATTCACTAAAACTTCTACCAAAATGCTGTTGAATAAGGGAGAAATGAATAACTTTTTCTTAAAAACAAAACAGAAAGACTTCCTTACTCGTTTTTTTAGAGGAATTTGTACTTTTTGTCCTTCTTAGTTCCGAACTGACCACAAAAGTTAAAATGTACAAGCGGACTTGACCTTCAGCATTACGAACTGGAGCAACTGTTATCTGACAGGCGAACTGATTACCTGAATAAAAAAAATTGATGCTATTTTTTAAAAATCAGAAAGAGGATAAACATTATCAAGACATACAACCACATCATAATGACCGAAGAAAAGAAAATGCGATGCGATGTAAGAAATCTGTTATTTTACTTAGTTTACAAGAGATTTTACTGGAGACCGATTTGATAGTACTATTGTAGTGGGTACTACTGATAAGAATAGGTATAAGTCTAAGTATATGGTGAGAGGTGGGCAGAAGTCATAGGTAATTAAGAGCGATGGGCAAATATTCTGCATAGGGAAACGTAAGAGACAACGTCAGCGTATGAAGAGCAAAATGAGGTAGAATAAGAAGAGAAGACGAAACGCATTGTGCAAATGAATGTCTCAGTGAAAAGGTCACTATATTTAATCAGTAATGTACAAAGTGTCATAATAAACACTTTTGTGTTTCGTCCTTTACCGTCTTCTTACACTATTATATAGTTAAGCTCAAACACTTTTCATGTTTCTCGACACTTCACTTACTTTCGTACGATTTATGAGTCCAAAATAACTGGCTGTTAATCAAAAGCAATCATCGTGCATAAGTTCGATTTTTATGCATAAAATCAGTTGTTTCATTTCATGAACTATGGTGCGTAGCAAGCATAAAATTCAGATGCACATATGCATGACATAAAATATAAATGATAAGGATAGTGAGTAACAGTTCTGTCTTCAATTAAGCAGAGGTTTAAGAAGACAATTGTGGTACTAATCCGTAGATAAACGGTGAATACGAGATGTTGCAATTGTATGCGGACTTGACCAAATGTTCAACAAGCGTCATAGGCGAATTACAAAACCATATGATTAGAGAAAATATTGTTCAAAGTTATGAGAAATCAGAAGAGTAAGATGATAGACCTATCATTATAAATAACGTCCATGCACAAGATATTCGCTATCCTCTGACGCCGTACTCAGAATTCGTAACGGAGAAAAGTCAAAGTGACACGCTAACAGTATTTTCATTTAAAGACGTTGATTCTCAACAATTTCCACAATGGAAGACTAATGACCTAAGTGTTTTTGCAGTCGAAAATTTTATTGTCTACCACTGGAAGCTACGGTTTAAGGTAGTTCGTCAGCAGTGTAAAAATCAGATAAAAGCCACCTATCTAACAGGATTTATATCTCATGACAGTATCAATACATATTGTATTAAATAAAGCTGTTAATAATATTGTCTCACGGCAAGTACTATGAAATACGTTTCTATCTTCAAACTTTTATCTACCTTGTATGCTGATAAGGATATTTGAGTGGTTGACACATCTTAACTTCCTATATCGTAGAAAGTCGATTCTTCCTGAAATACCTAAAAAGGATATTGGATAAGTAAGGATCTCTTTATCTAGCTGGTAGTGTAACTTCAGAGCCCAAAGGACAACCGCTTAAAGCAGGTCACACAGGGCCTATTTCGAGATGAATGTGTACTTCAAAATTCCTTACAGCCGGCAACTGAATGTTTTGGGATGGGAGGGAAAATGTACTACCCATAGGAAAGACCTTTTCAAAATTCATCTTCCTATACAAGGAAGACATCATTATTATAGAGATATTGGTCATCCTTGGGAAACATTTTAATGCCATAATATCCGTAAACTAAGTAATATTTTTTCCTGGGACCTCGTTCTTTTTGTAGTAATTTTAGAAGGCAAAAATTAGGGTGAAGAAAAATGTCTTTTATATTAGTTTTCTTTCAATGACTTTACGCTGAAAAACATGCCAAAACAACGCATAATGTATGAATATAGTTGTGACAAGTTAGTTAGTATGAATTCATCACTTTCAAGATTTCAGGCAGATAGACGAACACAATGCAGAAACCAGTACACAAGTGCATCGGTAAAAGTCTTCACAAGTCACACTGCCAAACTGAAAACAAGCGGGTAGGAAACCAGTGATAATAAAGTGAACAAAAGTGTATGGGAAGAGAGAGAATTTAACAAACTTTAAAAAACGTCAGGAAGTGAATATATCTGTACCATACTAACTAATTTTTAGTCATGTCACCGAGATTCTTCAAATACTAATTCCTATCACCTTGAGGACTTTAACAAGGCAATCTACACCTTCTTGCATGGCTCAAACCAATAGTTACAGACTTCATTGACTGATGTTATGTCTTGGTCTGGCCACTCCGAGAATTCTAATAACACGATCCTACTTCGGCTAACCTTCAACCTCAATCTGTGAAGATTTGCAATATGGTTGACTGACTTCCCTTCCTTGCACAGTACACTTCGCTTAAACTCCACACTGCTCACATAGTGATTCCTCCACATCTCAGTAATGCTACGAAGACACCTTTGTTTAAAAACCCATAGTCTTTTTCCATGTTCTACTGTCAACAGCTATGTCTCACAGCTGTATCATAGGACAGAAGGACTACAGCGATTTATACTCATGTTTTAATGAATAGCCGGATTTGTCGTTAAGCTAATTTGGCAAAATCAAACAGTCCCTTTGCTTTTGAGGTGAGATTGCGTCGGTAACCAACCCTTTCTAAACAGTGCAGCTCCCCAAAGTGAGTGAAGTAGTCAATGGATTCAACGAATTTACTCTTTATTCTTGAACTGGAAGTACCTGCAAACTAGTACTGAAGCATCATCCTACGTTTGACAGGTGCGGAACGAATGCCAAACATACTCAAATTTCTGCTGAAGACGTTCAGAAAACTGTTACTTGCCTGCTTCTTCACTTCACATGGCTATCTCATATCACATCAACCAAGTGCTCATCTGGGCACAAGCCAATCTCTCTAAATTCGAAAGTACCTACGGTTATATCCTTAAACATATCAATAAAAAATATGACCAGGATAGTAAGTGATTCCATTTCCGTAATTCCTTATAAACTAGAATGGTCAGAAATCTAGACCATAAATTGTGTAACACCTACTTTACTCTGCCCAACTCTACAACCGTATAACAAGTGGCACGATTTACAATAATAAATTACTCGACAGTATTATGTGATTACATAAAAATAGATAAAACATTCAACGATGGTTAGAGAAACCTTCACCGAAAAGGATGTTACCCGGATAACCGGCCAGGATAGGTAGCTAAAACGCTACGCCGAACACTTCGAAGCACAGTTCAACTGGCCCCCAGCAACGCTTCAGTTGCGCAACATTCAGTCAGTCCGAACCTGAATGGCATGTACATGTCGGTTCTCGGCCAAGCGTCATGTAAAGTATAAAATGAGGTCTGATAAGGAAACAAATACCAACTATGAAAAATGAGTGAGTCAAGTTGATACACTCTTTGAAGAATACCTAAGATTTTGTCATCAGATTTCAAGATCACTCGCTAAATTATGCCCACTGCTAAAAACATTTCACACACATGTAGAAACTGTACCAAAGACGACCTACAAAGTACTCATCCTTTATTTTCAACACCCATTACTTCTGTGGGCCCATTACAGGTGAATAGCTAAAGTATTCAAGCACAACCGCCTAAAACGGTGTACAGTACAGAGATAAGGAGGCTACCGAATAGGAACTAGAATTCTGAGCGAATTTTATGTCAGTTACTGCAAGTTAATTCATTCGATGCTTTTCTGACAGCTTCATAAATATGCGGATTATGTTTTCAAGGTACACATACAACACTGGTTAAAAAAGAACACCAACAACATATATTCACTTACCAGATTTATTGCATAGTACAGCCATAATAATTTTCTCCTCACAATCTGACAGTGCTATTTTCAAGTCCTTAATAGATCTGGATGAAGTTAATGGACCGTATAAAAATTCCAAGCCAGCAGATCGACGCAGAATTTCTGCCCTTGAATACCCACACAAAGAACAAAACTCATCATTACAGAAAATTATTGGAGCCCCGGGGAGAGCAGCATTTGCAATCAAGAACTTCCGACCTACAAAATAATGGTTGAAACCGAATAAAAAAAATGTATATGACAAAGTACATTAATGAACTATCTTTACCTAGAAAGTTTGAGGGAGGATGTTTACCATACAACTGATGCTTTATAGCACAATGCATTTCGTAAAGTTTGTGAGATAGTTGTATGGAAATTAGGTTTGTAAGGGACATATTAAAGAAGGATTTTTCCTGGTTTTCACATATAGGCTACTTACAATCAACTAGGTGTGATTTTATTCCGAAAGTTTTATAGAAACCTAATGGTTCTACGCCAAAAAGAAATCCAGTAATACCTTGTCAGTATACTTATAAAATGTGCAAAGTTGATCAAATCGTGTTTTAACCACATACAATCATCTTATATACGAATATTTAATAATTTTTACTGTTAATACTAGTAATATTGGACCACTACACCTTGAATTATTATTATTCAGTACAGATATCATATTGCTCCTATAGCTCACTAAAGCGTAAAAGATCATGCAGACATAAGCCTTTCATAAACACCTTACAGTTTCTGTTCAGTAATTTAACAAGTGAGGAAGCAGAAGCAGGCACATTGAAAAGACAGAGACACATGTGTCTGTGCGTTTTAATAGACACATTGTCAGCACTCTCGGCTGAAGAAGACCGAAAAGGTAATAAACATATTTAAAATAAACAATACACTTCTCAGAAATCATAGAGGTTGGGAGGATATAATCTGATGTTTGTATCAGACAACAGATCAATATAGGACCTGAATGAAAAACGAAATACACTCAGCTATCACATGCACATTCGTGCAGCAGACAGTGAGCCACACCTACTGAATGTGGGCTATGATACTACTTGTCTACCCAGAACTTTATAGGTGGAGGGCGGTTGGAACAGGTGATCCATTGGTTAGAAGTCAAGTGTCCAGACCAATGAGTCACATAGAATCTGAAACCGATATAAAGACAGCGGTTAATCATCACGGGTGCGCACTGCTGAGGATCCCCGTACAAGGACGAAACGGCTGTCCGGTACTCCCAGGTTTCTGATGTCAGTCTATGATGAATACCAACTTGGAAAATCACTAAGTCCCCACAAACCCCGAAATTCAATTCATCTTCAACTATCTTAGTGGCGTAACTTATGCAAAATGATTTTCTACTCCTATGTTTTCTTTTGTTCTAGTTCTGAATATAACTCATTAAGTTTAAGTCAACGTTTGTTTGCCTCTCTTTTTAGCCATATTAATCTTTTTCGACGTAACATGTAATTAATTATCTTCTCTAGCATTCCAAAACTATTACTTCAATTAATTATAAGACTTAGTAAAAAATGATTGACTTTAAAGGCTACTCTAGCAACAACTGAAACAACCAATTAGACTTCTGTATTTTATGAAAATCTGCCTTTCCAGCCGAAATGAAGAGACCTAATTGGTTAGTTCAACCATTCCTAGGGTGGCGTTTAAACTCGCCCTCAAAAATAATCATTTCGATCCCCGATTTTTCGCTTCAAATAACGACCTTGCAGGAATTCATGGACACCTCATTTCTCTATTTTAAAGCAGTATTAACTATCGTTAACTTGTAAAGCACCAGACGTTCTTATCTTCTAAACAGTTGATAAAAATACAGAGAAATACAGTGAATCCATCTGTGAATCTAGTCTTTATCAATACATTTATACTTGTGGAAGGAAGAAATCGAACGAAATCTTTAATATTAACTTCAAACGGTAGCTACACTGACATACAACAAATAAGAATCCAGGAGTTATTAACAATTGGACTAAAATACACATTGGGAAGAACCAATCACATTCATATAACTTACTCATCGAATGAAAGCTCATGGAGAATGTCTGAGTACACGATAAATAGTGTTTATCCACGTAGTTTTAATTGGAAACTTTTATCAAGCCTTAAGACGCATTTCTTTGTTAACTCTATTTTCCGATTACAAATGTAAATGATAAGCAGGCAAAAAACAGCTGGATGATGTACAAAACTTTCTGATGAATCAATTATTTAGTCGTTTTCCGTTGCTGAATATCTTCTCAAATAAATAAACAGCATTTACTAGATAAAACTCAATCTTCTTCCCACACATATTCCACGCCCGTAAAAAACTAGTAGTATATTCTACCTTAGGTGAAGCTGTGGTTCAGTGGTTTAGGGAAACAACTTTCAACCAATTGGTTACAGGTTCGAACCTCGCCCCACCTACAGAGGTTTGGGCAGCCAAGTAGTGTCATTAGCTTACACAATAGGTGTAGCTCACTGTCTACTGAACGAACGTGCACGCGGCTGTTGACTGTGTTTCGTTTCATACATATTCTATCTTTAAACCCCTTTTCTTTGGAAATAAAATCACTTGGTGAATACGATTATCTACCAACTAATCTACTGTCTACTCATAAATATTTCTTTTTTTCTAGAACCACAAGTTAGTCATGACTACATTCATTCACACAGCATTATAAATGTTAAAAATAGTCTTTTTAATTAAAAGATCATTTCAAACCATCTTAATGACTATTTTCATCAATTTTATGGTGAATACTATGCCACTAATATGTATTATTTTACCGTCAACTATCCTGTTTGGCCAATAAACTTGCTGGTATTCATCTTGTTCTCATCTTAAATACCGGTAGCTGAGAGAGAGGTGTCGTACTCTGCGATCCCATTACATCAGCACCGTTTCAGATGATTGTTAAGTCGTCAACAAATTCATGACCTGGTCACCACAGTAATCTAAGGCAGTAGTATTTTAAAGCTTGTACTAGGAAGTATAAGACAAAAAGGCATTTTAGCTATACTTCGTTGACTTGGGACACTGCTCCACTTGATCGGCTATAATACTCATTTTGACCCAGAAATAGGTTGTGAAAACGAACCTTAACTCGTTACAGAAGTGAGTAAGGGATCCATTCCTATAAATTACTTTGGACGAAACCTATTGTATATACGGACTTTGATTAGCCTTATACAGCATTGCTATGTATATTCTTTCCAATGGTAATTTATTCATCAAAATCTAATAAGTTGATCGCATGGCTTCAATATGAAGACAATGCACGCATAGTTAACTACAGGTTGTATCTAAGTATCAGATATTAGTCGCGAGTGATTTTCCTAGTGTTCATCGTCTACATACAAAAAATTGTAGAAGTTAGAGAAAGAATTCAGTAGCATAAAACCTGGTTGAGGTGACGGAACTAGACAGACATAACACCATGAACAAAAATAGTAACGTTTGGAACAGGTCTTGTATGTGCCAAATACCGATTGGTGTTACTCAAACGAACTCCATCGATGTTGAATTCAAACATAGAAGGAAGAGAACCACACAAACAAGTTTGAGAAATTTGACCGAATATTAAAGCGTTGGAAAAAACAACAGTGGCACAATGATTAGCTTTTTAATTGCCTTTACAATTTTGTATAGAAGCTATCAGGGGCATATACTTAAGTTTTTTGAAGCGTTAGCTATAAATAAATTTAAGCCCCATTGTGTGTGCAGAAACAGTTTGTCCTTGCGCTAAGCCTACCTTGGTAATCCTTATTTTATCGTATTACCAAGTTGTCTTCAAATCTTATCTTTTTCCTTTCATTATCTTTCTTATTATTGAATTCCTTTATGTTATATTTTTCCTTCCCCCACTTCCAATATATAATGCCTTAACAAGTTAATGTGTGATCAGATCGTTCGAAATGTATAGCGCAAATACATCACATTTTTCAGATAATCTACATCTTTTAATTACGTTAGACAAATAATGCATTTTAAACTAATAATGAATGTTTTCTGTGCAAAGTTTATTTATATTCTTCTTATGGCTTCGCACTTCTTAGATATCTGCTATTCGATCCTCTTGTTTTCTATATTCCTAACCAATCTGCTCTTTTTCTCTCGACATAAAATTCGCCAGTCAATCATTTGCTCTAGTGACATTTTTAGAAACTAATGAGCTGTGTATTGCTTGAACACATTCTTATTGGTAGCATATACTATGATACTATCTTGCTCTGATAACCTCGCCTGGTTAACTAGTTTACTAGTTACTAGCCGGTCCTAAGCCCGGGTAAAGAGGGAAGGTTGGGCATAGGGCTAGCAACCCTACCCCGTAAAACAAATCTAACCGCTAAAGAAACTTCAAAGCACAAACAAAATATAAAAAATGAAAACAAACTTATTCCCCGCTGGAATCGGAGAGGCGAAATGACGCCAGTTGGTGAAAGCCTTCGGGAAGCCAATTGGCCGATGTGTCTTCTCTCGATGAAAGCGAAAGTAAACGTGGGGACATGGAATGTCCGCACGATGTTTGAACCCAGTAAGGCAGCCCAGATTGCAAAGGAGATGAGAAGGTATAACATCGAAGTGCTTGGGATTTGCGAAAGCAGATGGAATGGGAGTGGACTCTCCAAACTGTCAACTGGAGAATCAATAATCTACTCCGGTCACCCAGACGCCAACCACGAGCACACTGAGGGAGTGGCTATCATGATGTCCTCAAGAGCATCGAAGGCTCTCATGCAGTGGGAACCAATCTCCTCCAGGATCATGACAGCAAGATTCAACTCAAAAGGAAGAAAGGTCACAATCATACAATGTTATGCACCTACAAATAATGCAGAGCAAGAGAAAAAGGAGGATTTCTACAGACAACTTCAATCAACACTGGACAAGACGTCAGTTGGCGATATCAAAATTCTAATGGGCGACATGAATGCCAAACTGGGAGGGGACAACACGGGAAGAGAACTAACCATGGGTCGAGAGGCGCTAGGTGAAATGAATGAGAATGGAGAATTGTTTGCAGAATTCTGTGCATTCAACGATTTGGTGATTGGAGGCAGTGTGTTCAGGCACAAAGATATCCACAAAGCGACATGGATTTCACCAGATGGACACACTAAAAATCAAATCGACTTTATCTCAATCTCAAGAAAATGGAGACGCAGTCTACTTAACACAAGGTCAAGAAGAGGAGCAGATGTAGGTTCAGACC